GTGTGTTTGACTTGAACCAGGGAGGGGTTGGCTTGATTTAGCGAGGGGTTCCATTGCTTCAGGGAGGGGGTGGATTGACGTCGGAGGGGTTCCATTGAGAGGGGGGGTTCTGCTTGATTAGGGGGTGTTTGATTCATTGGGGGGGTGTTTGATTAATTGGGGGGTGTTTGATTGATCAGGGAGGGGTTGGATTGATTAGGGAGGGGTTCCATTGATAAGGGGGGTGTTGGATTGATTAGGGAGGGGTTCGATCGATTAGGGAGGGGTTCTATTGATTAGGGAGGGGTTCGATTGATTAGGGGGTGTTTGATTCATTGGGGGGGTGTTTGATTAATTGGGGGGTGTTTGATTGATCAGGGAGGGGTTGGATTGATTAGGGAGGGGTTCCATTGATAAGGGGGGTGTTTGATTGATAAGGGAGGGGTTGGATTGATTAGGGAAGGGTTTCATTGATAAGGGGGCGTTTGATTCATTGGGGGGGCGTTTGATTGATTAGGGAGGGGTTGGATTGATTAGGGAGGGGTTCCTTTGATAAGGGGGGTGTTTGATTCATTGGGGGGGTGTTTGATCAATAAGGGGGTGTTTGATTGATTAGGGAGGGGTTGGATTCATTGCGAGGTGTGTTTGATCGATAAGGGGGTGTTTGATCGATTGGGGGGGTTGATTGATTTGGGGGGTATTTGATTGATTAGGGAGGGGTTCGATTGATTAGGGAGGGGTTCGATTGATTAGGGAGGGGTTTCATCGATAAGGGGGTGTTTGATTCTTAAGGGGGCTGTTTGATTGATTAGGGGGGTGTTTGATCGATTAGGGAGGGGTTCCATTGATAAGGGGTGTGTTTGATTGATTAGAGGGGTGTTTGATTGATTAGGGAGGGGTTGGATTGATTAGAGAGGGCTTTGATTGATTAGGGGGGTGTTCGATTGATTGGGGGGGGGTTGATCGATTAGGGAGGGATTCCATCGATTACGGGGGTGCTTAATTGATTAGGGAGGGGTTGGATTGATTAGGGGAGTGTTTGAGTGATTAGGGAGGGGTTTCATTGATAAGGGGGCGTTTGATTCATTGGGGGGGTGTTTGATTGATTGGGGGGTGTTTGATTGATTAGGGAGGGGTTGGATTCATTGGGGGCGTGTTTGATCGATTGGGGGGTGTTTGAGTGATTAGGGAGGGGTTCCATTGATGAGGGGTGTGTTTGATTGATTAGAGGGGTGTTTGATTGATTAGGGAGGGGTTTCATTGATAAGGGGGTGTTTGATTCTTAAGGGAGCTGTTTGATTGATTAGGGAGGGGTTCCATCGATTAGGGGGTGTTGGATTGATTAGGGGTGTGTTTGATCGATTAGGAGGGGTTTGATTGATTAGGGAGGGGTTTGATTGATTGGGGGGGTGTTTGATCGATTAGGGAGGAGTTCCATTGATTGGGGGGGTGTTGGATTGATTAGGGAGGGGTTGGATTGATCGGGGGCTGTTTGATTGATCGGGGGCTGTTTGATTGATCGGGGGCTGTTTGATTGATCGGGGGGTGTTTGATTGATCGGGGGGTGTTTGATTGATTAGGGAGGGGTTCGATCGATTGGGGGGTGTTTGATTGATTGGGGGGGTGAATCATTGGGGGAGGTTTGATCGGTAAGGGGGTGTTTGATCAATAAGGGGGTGTTTGATCAATAAGGGGTGTTTGATCAATAAGGGGGTGTTTGATTGATTAGGGAGGGGTTGGATTGATTAGGGAGGGGTTGGATTGATTAGGGAGGGGTTTCACTGATAATGGGGTGTTTGATTGATTGGGGGGTGTTTGATTGATTAGGGAGGGGTTCGATCGATTGGGGGGTGTTTGATTGATTAGGGAGGGGTTCGATCGATTAGGGGGTGTTTGATTGATTAGGGAGGGGTTCCATTGATAAGGGGTGTATTTGATCGATTAGGGGGGTGTTTGATTGAATAGGGAGGGTGTTCAATTGATTGGGGGGTGTTTGATTGATTAGGGGGTGTTTGATCGATTGATTGGGAGGGTATGGATTGATTAGGGAGGGGTTCCATGGATAAGGGGAGTGTTTGATTGATTAGGGGGATGTTTGATTGATTAGGGAGGGGTTGGATTGGTTAGGGAGGAGTTTGATTGATCGGGGGGGGTTGATTGATTAAGGAGTGGTTTGATTGATTAGGGAGGAGTTTGATTGATTGGGGGGGTTTGATTGATCGGAGGGGTTTGGTTGATAAGGGGGGTTTGATTGATGAGGTGTTTGATCGGACGGGTGGTTGATGATGGGTTCGATTGATCAGGGGGGTGTTTGATTGATCAGGGGGGTGTTTGATTGGTCGGGGGGGTGTTTGATTGATCAGGGGGTGTTTGATTGATCGGGAGGTGTTTGGTTCATTGGGGGGTGTGTTTGATTGATTAGGGGGGTGTCTGATTGATTGGGAGGTGTTTAATTAATCGGGGGGGTTCGATTGATCAGGGGGCTGTTTGATTGATCAGGGGGGTTTGATTGATCGGGGGGTTTGATTGATCGGGGCATTAACTCATTAGGGCGGTGTTTGATTCATTAGGGGGTGTTTAATTGATTGGGGGGTATTTGATTGATTGGGGGGTATTTGATTGATTGGGGGGTGTTTAATTGATAAGGGCATGTTTGATTGGGGGGTGTTTGATTGATTAGGGGGCTGATTGGTTGATTGGGGGGGTGTTTGATTGATCGGGGGTTTAATTGATAAGGGGATGTTTGATTGATTAGGGGGTGTTTGATTGATCGGGGGTGTTTGATTGGGGGGTGTTTGATTGATTAGGACTGTGTTTAATTGATCAGGGGTGTTTGATTAATTAGGGCGGTGTTTGATTTATCGGGGGGTGTTTAATTGTTGGGGGGGGGTTGGTTAATTAGGGCTGCGTTTAATTGATCGGGGGGGTGTTTGATTAATTAGGGCTGTGTTTAACTGATCGGGGGGTGTTTAATTGATCGGGGGGGTGTTTGATTAATTAGGGCTGTGTTTAACTGATCGGGGGGTGTTTGGTTAATTAGGGCTGCGTTTAATTGATCGGGGGGGTGTTTGATTAATTAGGGCTGTGTTTAACTGATCAGGGGGTGTTTGGTTAATTAGGGCTGTGTTTAATTGATGGGGGGATGTTTAATTGATCGAGGGGTGTTTGATTAATTAGGGCAGTGTTTGATTGATTGGGGGGTCGTGGGACACGCCCACCGTTGGGGGGGGGAGGGGATGGGGCTCAGCACCCCCAGGATTCCTGGGAAATCTCTATCCCGGGAAGGGACCCTCCCCCTCAGCATTCCCGGGATCCCGCACCCCCAGGATCTTCTGGGAACCCCCATTTTCCAGGGAAAGGATCCTCCCCCTCAGCATTCCCGGATCCCACACCCTCAGCATTCCCAGGATCCTGCACCCCCAGCATCCTCTGGGAACCCCCATTTTCCAGGGAAAGGATCCTCAGCATTCCCAGGATCCCGCACCCCCAGGATCTTTGGGGATCCCATTTTCCAGGGGTGAGACCCTCCCCCTCAGCATTCCCAGGATCCTGCATCCCCGAGATCCTCAGGAGACCTCCATTTTCCAGGGAAGGGACCCTCCCCCTCAGCATTCCCAGGATCCTGCATCCCCGGGATCCTCGGGAGACTCCCATTTTCCAGGGAAGGGACCCTCAGCATTCCCGGGATCCCGCACCCCCAGCATCCTCAGGGAACCCCCATTTTCCAGGGAAGGGACCCTCCCCCTCAGCATTCCCGGCATCCCGCACCCTCAGCATCCTCGGGGGGCTCCCATTTTCCAGGGAAGGGACCCTCAGCATTCCCGGGATCCCGCACCCTCAGCATTCCCGGGATCCTGCTCGTCCAGGATCCTCTGGTGACGCCCATATTCCAAGGAAGGGACCCTCAGCATTCCCAGGATCCCGCACCCCCAGGATCTTTGGGGATCCCATTTTCCAGGGAAAGGACCCTCCCCTTTAGCATTCCCAGGATCCCGCACCCCCCGGATCTTTGGGGATCCCATTTTCCACGGAAGGGACCCTCAGCATTCCCAGGATCCCGCACCCCCAGCATCCTCTGGGAACCCCCATTTTCCAGGGAAGGGACCCTCAGCATTCCCGGGATCCCGCACCCCCAGGGATCCCCAGGGGAGGGCAGGAATTCTTGAGGCGCTGCCCTGCCCTCGGCAGCCTCTGGAATGTTTATTCCCGGTGGGAATTCAGGAGCTGAATCCCGGGAGGCGCTGCCCTGCCCTCGGCAGCCTCTGGAATGTTTATTCCCAGGAAAAGCGAGGGGGGGGGGGAGGGAAGAGGCTTCTCCTTCCCCCTGCCCTCCATCCCTCCGTCCCATCTCTCCCGCGCTTTTTCCAGGGAAAAAGAGGGAATATGGAGGGTGGATCGGGCCCCCCATTCCCCCTGCCATGGGCGGGGTGGGGTCGCCGGGATTGGGATGGGATCGCTGGGATCGGGATGGGCTCGCTGGGATCGGGATGGGCTCGCTGGGATTGGGATCACCGCCCTGGGATTGGGATTGTCTGGCTGGGATCAGGATTGGGATGGTCTGGCTGGGATCAGGATTGGGATTGTCTGGCTGGGATCAGGATTGGGATTGTCTGGCTGGGATCAGGATTGGGATTGTCTGGCTGGGATCAGGATTGGGATGGTCTGGCTGGGATCAGGATTGGGATGGTCTGGCTGGGATCAGGATTGGGATTGTCTGGCTGGGATCAGGATTGGGATGGTCTGGCTGGGATCAGGATTGGGATGGTCTGGCCGGGATCACGATTGGGATGGTCTGGCTGGGATCAGGATTGTCTTGCTGGGATCAGGATGGTCTTGCTGGGATCGGGATGGGCTCACCGGGATCGGGATGGTCTCCCTGGGATCGGGATGGTCTCCCTGGGATCGGGATGGTCTCCCTGGGATCGGGATGGTTTCTCTGGGATCAGGATGGTCTGGCTGGGATCAGGATGGACTCACTGGGATCAGAATGGTCTTGCTGGGATCAGGATGGTCTGGCTGGGATCAGGATGGTCTGGCTGGGATCAGGATGGTCTGGCTGGGATCGGGATGGTCTCTCTGGGATCGGGATGGTCTGGCTGGGATCGGGATGGTCTCTCTGGGATCGGGATGGTCTGGCTGGGATCGGGATGGTCTGACTGGGATCGGGATGGTCTGGCTGGGATTGGGATGGGCTCGCTGGGATCGGGATCACCTCCCTGGGATCGGGATTGTCTGGCTGGGATCAGGATTGTCTTGATGGGATCAGGATGGTCTGGCTGGGATCAGGATGGCCTCACTGGGATAGGGATTGTCTCGTTGGGGTCAGGACGGGCTCCCTGGGATCAGGATCAGGTCCCTGGGATCGGGATGGTCTGGCTGGGATCGGAATTGTCTGGCTGGGATTGGGATGGCCTCACCGGGATGAGGATGGACTTACTGGGATCGGGATGGGCTCGCCAGGATTGGGATCAACTTGCTGGGATTGGGATGGTCTTGCCAGGATCGGGATTGTCTGGCTGGGATCGGGATTGTCTGGCTGGGATCGGGATTGTCTGGCTGGGATCGGGATTGTCTGACTGAGATGAGGATGGTCTCACTGGGATCAGGATGGTTTCTCTGGGATCAGGATGGTCTGGCTGGGATCAGGATGGACTCACTGGGATCAGGATGAGGTCCCTGGGATCAGGATGGTCTGACTGGGATCGGGATTGTCTGGCTGAGATGAGGATGGTCTCACTGGGATCGGGATGGACTCACTGGGATCGGGATGGACTCACTGGGATCAGGATGGGCTCACTGGGATCAGGATGGGCTCCCTGGGATCAGGATCAGGTCCCTGGGATCGGGATGGTTTGGCTGGGATCGGGATGGTCTCACCAGGATCAGGATCACGTCTCTGGGATCAGGATCACCTGCCTGGAATGGGGATGGTCTGGCTGGGATCGGGATTGGCTCACTGGGATCAGGATGGACTCACTGGGATCAGGATCAGGTCCCTGGGATCAGGATTGTCTGGCTGGGATCGGGATGGTCTGATGGGATCGGGATGGTCTCTCTGGGATCAGGATTGTCTGGCTGGGATCGGGATTGTCTGATGGGATCGGGATGGTCTCTCGGGGATCAGGATGGGCTGGCTGGGATTGGGATTGTCTGGCTGGGATCGGGATGGTCTCTCTGGGATCAGGATGGTCTGGCTGGGATCGGGATTGTCTGGCTGGGATCGGGATTGTCTGGCTGGGATTGGGATTGTCTGACTGAGATGAGGATGGTCTCACTGGGATCAGGATGGTTTCTCTGGGATCGGGATGGTCTGGCTGGGATCAGGATGGACTCACTGGGATCAGGATGAGGTCCCTGGGATCAGGATGGTCTGACTGGGATCGGGATTGTCTGGCTGAGATGAGGATGGTCTCACTGGGATCGGGATGGACTCACTGGGATCGGGATGGTCTCACTGGGATCAGGATGGGCTCACTGGGATCAGGATGGGCTCCCTGGGATCAGGATCAGGTCCCTGGGATCGGGATGGTTTGGCTGGGATCGGGATGGTCTCACCAGGATCAGGATCACGTCTCTGGGATCAGGATCACCTGCCTGGAATGGGGATGGTCTGGCTGGGATCGGGATTGGCTCACTGGGATCAGGATCAGGTCCCTGGGATCAGGATTGTCTGGCTGGGATCGGGATGGTCTGATGGGATCGGGATGGTCTCTCTGGGATCAGGATTGTCTGGCTGGGATCGGGATTGTCTGATGGGATCGGGATGGTCTCTCGGGGATCAGGATGGGCTGGCTGGGATTGGGATTGTCTGGCTGGGATCGGGATGGTCTCTCTGGGATCAGGATGGTCTGGCTGGGATCGGGATTGTCTGATGGGATCGGGATGGTCTCTCGGGGATCAGGATGGGCTGGCTGGGATTGGGATTGTCTGGCTGGGATCGGGATGGTCTCTCTGGGATCAGGATGGTCTGGCTGGGATCGGGATGGCCTCACCGGGATCGGAATGGTCTGACTGGGATCGGGATGGTCTGGCCAGGATAAGGATTGTCTGGCTGGGATCAGGATGGGCTCACTGGGATCGGGATGGGATCGCCGGGATCGGGATGGTCTCACCGGGATCAGGATGGTCTGGCTGGGATCAGGATGGTCTCTGTGGGATCGGGATCACCTCCCTGGGATCGGGATTGTCTTGCTGGGATCAGGATGGTCTCTCTGGGATTGGGATCACCTTGCTGGGATCAGGATGGTCTCTCTGGGATTGGGATCACCTTGCTGGGATCAGGATGGTCTCTCTGGGATCGGGATTGTCTGGCTGGGATCGGGATGGACTCGCCGGGATAGGGATGGGCTCGCTGGGATAGGGATGGTCTGGCTGGGATTGGGATGGGCTCACCAGGATCAGGATCACCTCCCTGGGATCGGGATTCTCTGACTGGGATCAGGATGGTCTCTCTGGGATCAGGATTGTCTGGCTGGGATTGGGATGGGCTCACCAGGATCGGGATCCCCTCCCTGGGATCAGGATGGGCTCACTGGGATCAGGATGGGCTCACTGGGATCGGGATGGTCTCCCTGGGATCAGGATCACTTCCCTGGGATCAGGATTGTTCCCTCCATGCCGGGATTTGAGCGCGGTTTCATTTTGGAGGTCCCCACCCTTCCCCCCCCCCCCCCCCCCCCCCCCCCCCGGCGGGATAGGGAGGGCAATTCCCACTTGGAAGAGCTTCCAAACACCTGGAAAAGCCTCTGGATCCAGCAAGGATCCGGCTTCCCACCCCCCCCTCCTCCCTCTCCAGCCGTATCCATGGGGATGGATCCCGGGGCTGGCAGATGCTTCCAGGCTTTTATCCCACGGGAGAGGGCTGGGAAAGCCTGGAATGCCTCCAGATCCCCGGGAAAAGGAGGATTTGGGGAGGGAGGGGAACGCCAGGAGCCAGGGATCATCTCCAGGGACGGCATTCCCACATTTTTATCCCCGTTCCCGCTCCCCTGGCAGCCCCAGGGGGGGTTGTTTGTGTGATTCCCTCCGGCAAATCCCGGCAGGAAAAGAGGGAGAGGCTGGAATTCCTGGGGCCTGGAATGTCCCTTCCCTGGCATCGGAGGGTCCCTGTTGGAAAGCGGGGGGGGGGGGCATTTTTCCCCCTTAGAATGCAAAGCTGGGGATAATCCCCCAAAAAAACCGGCTCAGCTCCGGCTCTGGCGCAGCCGGGAAGGGCGTTCCCGGCAGGAAACCCTTTGGATGCCACTGGCGCTCCCAGAAAACCCCGGGAACGGGGAAGAGCCCGGATTATCCCGGTTTTCCTGATCCCTCATTCCCAGGGGGGTGGGGGCGGGGCCTGGGGATGATCCCCCCGGAGCCGCGGCCACGGAGACCCCCGGGAAGGGTCCCGGTGGGATTTGGGGGATCCCGGTGTGTCGGTGCTTCCAGAGGGGTTTGGAAAGGGGAGGGGTGAGGATTGGGAAACTTGGGATATGGGAGGAGCAGCAATGGGGTGTCCATCCCATCCCATCCATCCCATCAGTGTGTGCCCATCCCAATCCCATCCCAATCCCATTCCAATCCCATCCCATCCCATCCCATCCCATCCATCCCATCCCATCAGTGTGTTGCCCATCCCATCCCAATCCCATCCCATCCCATCCCACATTCCCATCCCATCCATCCCTTCCCATCCCATCCCATCCCATCCCACCCCGCATTCCCATCCCATCCCATCCCTTCCCTTCCATCCCATCCCATCCCACATTCCCATCCCATCCCATCCCACATTCCCATCCCATCCCCCCCGGAGCTGTTTCCCGAGGGTTCCAGGCAGGATTCCAGTGCCCCCATTCCCGGGACACCCCCACTGACCCCCCCCAACCCCTTTGCTCCGCAGGCTCCCAGATCCCTCTTCCTGCAGAATTCCAAGGATCGTCCCGCCATGACTCTGGCAGGTACCGGAGCATTCCCTGGCACCTGGAATTACTCCCACCCCCGATCCTGATCCCGATCCCGCCCCTTCCCTGGCACCTGGAATTACTCCCACCCCCGATCCTGATCCCGATCCCGCCCCTTCCCTGGCACCTGGAATTACTCCCACCCCCGATCCTGATCCCGCCCCTTCCCTGGCTCATGGAATGTCCCCCATCCCCCTGATCCCGATCCCGCCCCTTCCCTGGCACATGGAATGTCCCCCATCCCTCTGACACCCATCCCAATCCTTCCCTGGCACAATCCCACCCCTCTGATCCCGATCCCACCCCCCTGATCCCGATCCCGCCCTTCTGATCCCGATCCCGCTCTTCTGATCCCGATCCTGCCCCTCTGATCCCGATCCCACCCCCCTGATCCCGATCCCACCCCCCTGATCCCGATCCCACCCCTCTGATCCCGATCCCACCCCTCTGATCCCGATCCCACCCCCCTGATCCCGATTCTGCCCCTCTGATCCCGATCCCGCCCTTCTGATCCCGATCCCACCCCCTGAGCCACGAGCCCGCACCTTGATCCCGATCCCCGCACGTCCTGATCCAATCCCACCCCCCCTCTGATCCCGATCCCACCCCTCTGACCCCGATCCTGCCCCTCTGATCCTGATCCCACCCCTCTGATCCTGATCCCTTCCCCCTGATCCCGATCCCGCCCCCCTGATCCCGATCCCGCCACTCTGATCCCAATCCCGCCCCTCTGATCCCGATCCCACCACCTCTGATCCATGCCTCGCACTCTGACCCCCGATCCCCCCGCCCCTCTGATCCCCCCGATCCCACCCCCTGATCCAGATCCCGCCCCCTGATCCCGATCCCGCCCCTCGGATCCCGATCCGCACCTCGATCCCGATCCCCAACCCTCGGGATCCCGCCCCCCTGATCCCGATCCCGCCCCTCTGATCCCGATCCCACCCCTCTGACCCCGATCCTGCCCCTCTGATCCCAATCCCACCCCTTTGATCCCGATCCCATCCCTCTCATCCCAATCCCACCCCTATCATCCCAATCCCACCCCTCTCATCCCAATCCTATCTCTCTGATCCTGATCCCGCCCCCTGATCCCAATTCCACCCCTCTCATCCCAATCCCTTCCCCCTGATCCCGGTCCCTTCCCCCTGATCCCAATCCCACGCCTCTCATCCCAATCCCACCCCTCTCATCCCAATCCTATCTCTCTGATCCTGATCCCGCCCCCTGATCCCGCCCCCTGATCCCGATCCCTTCCCCCTGATCCCGATCCCGCCCCCCTGATCCCGATCCCATCTCTTCCCAGCGTACAAGGAGAAGATGAAGGAGCTCCCTCTGGTCTCCCTGTTCTGCTCCTGTTTCCTGTCGGATCCGCTCAACAAGCCGGGATACACGTACGAAGGTGGGACCCCCTTCCCAAACCCCTTCCCAAGGGGAGCCAGGAATTCGGGAAGGGCTCCAGGAACTGTGGAATAATCGGGATCACCCTCCAACCCCACCCGGCGGCTCCGTGGTTTTCTGGGAATGGCAGGAAGCAGGAGGGTGGGTTGGGATCTGGGGGGGCCTTGGGAAGAGCGGGGGACCCACGGGGAGGTTCCGAGCCCTCAGCATTCCCAAATATTCCCAGCTCAGCCCCACTGGTGGTTTGGGATCCAGGGGGTTCCGTGCCTTGGTGAAAGTCATGGATATCAGGGAATGTGGTGATGCATTGGGGTGGGAACTCCAAGACACCCATCCAGGGGATATTTGGGAGAGCTGAGGGCTGGGCGTGGATGGAGAGAGCTCAGCATTCCCAAATATTCCCAGTTCACTCTCCTGGATGGGTGTCCCGGAGTTCCCGCCCCAACCCACGACATTGGGGATGAACCACTGGGAAAATTGGGGTGAAACCCCTGGATATCAGGGAATGTGGTGATCCATTGGGGTGGGAACTCCAGGACACCCATCCAGGGGATATTTGGGAAAACTGAGCGCTGGGCATCTCCCCAAGGAATGGGAGAGCTCAGCATTCCCAAATATTCCCAGCTCACCCCCCGGATGGGTGTCCTGGAGTTCCTGCCCCAATGGATCACCACATTCCCTGATATCCTGGAGTTTCACCCCAATTTTCCCAAATTGGTGATCCATTGGGGTGGGAACTCCAGGATACCCGTCCAGGGGGCTAAGATGGGAATGTTTGGGAAAACTGAGGGCTGGGCATCTCCCCGTGGATGGGGAGAGCTCAGCATTCCCAAATATTCCCAGCTCACCCTCCTGGATGGGTGTCCTGGAGTTCCCGCCCCAACCCACGACATCGGGGATGAACCACAGGGAAAATTTGGGAAAGTTGGGGTGAAACTCCTGGAAATCAAGGAATGTGGTGATCCATTGGGGTGGGAACTCCAGGACACCCATCCAGGGGGCCGAGCTGGGAACATCCAGCCTTGGGAGGCTCCTCCCGATAACCCCGGGCGGGACGTGGAGCCGGAAAGGAGCTCGGCTCCCATTCCCGGCTCCCTGGGCGTTCCGGGCGGTTCCCGGCCGACATTCCCGCGTTGCCGGCAGACACGGTGGAGCTGGCGTGGTCGGTGCTGTCGGACATGGAGGTGATCGAGCTGAGCAAGCGCACGTCGGGCCAGTCCTTCGAGGTGATCCTGAAGCCGCCCTCCTTCGACGGCGTCCCCGAGTTCAACGCGTCGCTGCCGCGCCGCCGGGACCCGTCCCTGGAGGAGATCCAGAAGAAGCTGGAGGCGGCCGAGGAGCGCCGGAAGGTGGGGGGGGTGGGGGGGGGGCACCGGGAAGTTCCGACACCCGGCCTTGGCGAAGTTCTCCAAGTTCCCGATGGCCCCGACCTTGCCAAACTTCCCCAAATTCCCAACCTTCCCAGCCTTCCCCAACTTCCCCAAATTCCCAACCACCCCAACCTTCCCCACCTTCCCAACTTTCCTCAAATTCTCGACCTTCCCAACCTTCCTCAAATTCTCGACCTTCCCAACCTTCCTCAAATTCTCGACCTTCCCAACCTTCCTCAAATTCTCGACCTTCCCAACCTTCCTCAAATTCTCGACCTTCCCAACCTTCCTCAAATTCTCGACCTTCCCAACCTCCCCAAATTCCCGACCTTCCCAACCTTCCTCAAATTCCCGACCTCCCCAACCTCCCCAACCACCGCAACTCCTCCAACCATCCCAACAACCAAAACCTTCTCCACCTTCCCAACCTTCCCCAAATTCTCAACCACCCCAACCTTCCCAACCTCCCCAACCTTCCCAAATGCCCCCAAGTTCCCAACAACTCCAAACACCCCAACCTTCCCCACCTTCCCAACCTTCCCCAAATTCTCAACCTTCCCAACATTCCCAAAATGTCCCCAAATTCCCAACCTTCCCAACCTCCCCAACCACCCCAACCTCCCGAACCTTCCCAACCTTCCCAACCACCCCAACCTCCCTAACTTTCCCAACAACTCCAACCTTCCCAACCACCCCAACCTTCCCAACCTTCGCAAACTTCCCCAGATTCTCAACCTTCCAAACCTCCCCAAATTCCCAACCTTCCTTACCTCTCCAACCTTCCCAACCTTCCCAGCCCCTCCAACCTTCCCAAATTCTCAACCTCCCCAACCTCCCCAACCTCCCCAACCTTCCCAACCACTCCCACCTTTGCAAAACTCCCCAACCTTCCCCACCTTCCCAACCTTCCCCAGATTCTCAACCTCCCCAACCTCCCCAAATTCCCAACCTTCCCAACCTCTCCAACCTTCTCAACCTTCCCAAATTCTCAACCACCCCAACCTCCCCAGCCACCCCAGCCACTCCAACCTCCCCAACCTCCCGAACCTTCCCAACCATCCCAACCTTCCCAACCTTTTCAAATTCCCAACCTTCCCACCTTCCCAACCACCCCAACCACCCCAACATTCCCAACCACCTCAACCTTCCTAAACTTCCCAACAATCCCAATGATCCCCACCTTCCCCAAATTCCCAACCTTCCCAGCCTTCCCAACCTCCCCAAAATTCCCAACCACCCCAACCTTCCCCACCTTCCCAACCTTCCTCAAATTCCCGACCTTCCCAACCTTCCCAACCTCCCCAAATTCCCAACCTTCCCAACCTCCCCAAATTCCCAACCTTCCCAACCTCCCCAAATTCCCAACTCTCCCCAGCCTCCCCAAATTCCCAACCCTTCCCAACCTTCCCAACCTCCCCAAATTCCCAACCTTCCCAACCTCCCCAAATTCCCAACCTTCCCAACCTCCCCAAATTCCCAACCTTCCCAACCTCCTCAAATTCCCAACCTTCCCAACCTCCCCAAATTCCCAACCCTTCCCAACCTCCCCAAATTCCCAACCCTTCCCAACCTTCCCACCCTCCCCAAATTCCCAACCTTCCCAACCTCCCCAACCTCCCCAACCCCTCCCAACCTTCCCAACCTCCCCAACGTTCCCAACCACCTCAACCTTTCCAACCTCCTCAACCTTCCCAACCTCCCCAACATTCCCATCCCCTCCAACCTTCCCCAACATTCCCAAACCCCCCAACCCCTCCAACCCCCGTTGATTTCCCCCCCCCCCCCCTTTCCCACACATCCCCGATTCCGATGCGGTCCCGGCCGTTCCCCCGACGTATCCCTGTTTTCCCGGAGCAGTACCAGGAGGCGGAGCTGCGGAAGCACCTGGCGGAGAAGCGGGAGCACGAGCGGGAGGTGATCCAGAAGGCCATCGAGGAGAACAACAACTTCATCAAGACGGCCAAGGAGCGGCTGGCGCAGAAGATGGAATCCAACAAGGAGAACCGCGAGGCCCACCTGGCGGCCATGCTGGAGAGGCTCCAGGAGAAGGTGGGAGGCGGGAGAACGCGGAGCGGGGAGGTGGGAAGGGAGGGGGGGGGGGGCGGTCGCTCGGAATCGTGGAATGTCGGGATGGGTTGGGTGGGAATCCAGTTCCGACCCCGGCACCTCCCGCTGTCCCAGGGGATCCAACCCGGCCTTGGACACTGCCAGGGATCCAGGGGCAGCCCCAGCTTCTCTGGGAATTCCAGCCCAGCCCCTCCCCACCCTCCCAGCCGGGAATCCCTTCCCAATCTCCCCCCCAAATCTCCCCTTTCCCACTGGGATCCATTCCCTGGGGCCTGGCATTCCAGGCCCTGATCCCCAGGCCCTCTCCAGCTCTCCTGGAGCCCCTTCAGGCTCTGGAATGTGCTCCAAGCTCTCCCGGGATCCTTCCCAAATCCAGCCTGGCCATTCCCAGCTCTCCCAGCCTGGAGCCAGAGCCTGCCATTGGATCCATCCCCAGCCCAGCTCCTCCCTGGGAAGGAGTTCCGGGAACAAGGGGGTTCCCTGGGAATCTCGGCACTCAGGGCAGGGTCTCCCTTCCCCTTTCCTGCCTTTTCCATCCCCACATTCCAGAAAACCCCCTCTGAGTGGATTCTGAGTGTCCTTTATCCTGGAATCCCGGAATGGTTTGGGTGGGAAGGGCCCTTAAATCCCATCCCATTCCATGGGCAGCCACACCTCCCGCTATCCCGGGGAAGGACTCCAGCATTCCTTAGGTGATCCCAAGGGATCAGAGACTCCAGCATTCCTTAGGTGATCCCAAGGAAGGACTCCAGCATTCCTTAGGTGATCCCAGGGAAGGCCTCCAGCATTCCTTAGGCGATCCCAAGGGATCAGAGCACTCCAGCATTCCCTGGATGATCCCAGGACCCCCCAAGGTCACCCACCCGCGGGATGACCCTCTGTAACTCCCCGTTGCTTCCCGCCCTTCCGGATTGTCCCGGATCCCCCCTGACGAGCGTTCCCGCTCCGTTCCCGCAGGACAAGCACGCGGAGGAGGTCCGGAAAAACAAGGAGCTGAAGGAAGAGGCCTCCAGGTAAAGAGGCTCTGCTCGGACTCTCAGCTCCGGGGGCGGATTTTTCCGGAGGCTCCCGCGGGCTCGACCGGAGCGGAAGGGCCGGGAACGTTCCCTCTGCTTTTCCGTGCTCCGTGTGGAATCGGGACGGAGCCGCCGGGCGATCCCAAGACATTCCGGGGTGATGGAGGGGAGGGTTGGGAAGTGAAGGAAAGAGAGGGGAGGGGGTTTTTCTTGGGGTGGGAATGGTGGGGGCCAGATTTGGGATCTCTCCACCTGCCTCGGGAGGGTTTTCCCGGCATCCAGGTCCGGAGGAGGAAGAGGAGGAGGAGGAGGAGGAGGAGGGAAAATCCCGGGGGGCCGGAAGGGGTGGGCAGGGAGGGGTGGGAATGTGCGTCGTGTGTGGCTGTAGTCGGGAATCCCTCTGGAATCTTCTCCTCCCATCCCGTCTCTTGGCGTCCCTCCCCCCCGTTCCCGCCCGGATTCGGGATCTCTCCCCCCCTTTAATTTGCCCTCCAAATTTTGGGAATGGGGAGGAGGATCCCCCCCTTTGGAATGGTCAGGGATTGGGGGGGGAGGGGTTGTGGCTCCAAAGGTTTTTTTCTATCTTGGAATCGCCCACGATCCTTTCCAAGGACTTCCCAAAGAAAGCGGTGGGGGGGGTGTGTTTTTTATTTTGTAAGAACCTCCCAAAAAAAAACCCCTCGTCCCTGTGGGAGAACTCCTGGATGAAATCCCGTTTTCCCGCTGTAAAGCCGCCGGCTCCCGGAAAACAGGAGCGGGAGGAGGGAAAAACAGGGATGTGGAGAATGGAATGGGGGGAGGAAAACAAGAGGGAAAAGGAGGAGGAGGAGCCAGAGGTGGGGTGGAGATGCCCGTGGAGGAGGAGACAATTCCACGGCGGAATCGGGAACAGCGGCGGCACCTCCGGGCGGGAAAACCCGGCGGGATCCTCCGGCGGCTTTTCGGGAGCTGCCCCGCAATTCCCGGGAAAAGGAGGGGTGGGAATGCCGCCCCCTCTCCCAATTCCCAGCGGGAACCGCTCCCTCGACCTCCGACCTTTCCAACTGGTGCCAGGAGGGTTTTGCTCGCCACAAAATTCCCGAGCTCCGGGTCGGGATTCCGGAGGGAATCGCGTCCCCCCCTTCGGCCGTGCCCGGATCCCAGGGGGGAATTCCCGGGATGAGGGAGCGGGGGCAGGAGCCGGAGGGGCCGTTCCGAGTTTGTCCCTTTTTGTACACAAACGTTGTAAATACGAATAAACTGCCCGGGCCTTTCCTGGCTTTTCTCACGATCCCTGCCCCGCTTTTCCAGGGTTTTTTTTTTTAGGGAAAAGGAGGGAATTAGGGTGGGCATTGGGATGGGATGGGATGGGATGGGATGGGCCTGTTTTCCCTCCTTGTCCCAAAAATCCCGGTGGGACTGGGGCGGGTTTGGGGGCTTTTCCCATTCCAGACTCGGAGCAGGGAATTCCATCCGTGTGCTGGGAGAAGAGGGAGCTCGGAGGGAGCTGGAGATGATCCATGGGTTTATCCATGATCCATGGGTTTATCCCTGGATTAGGGAATCGGGTCTTTCCCACTGTCCTGGGTCTCAGTTCTGTGCCACCCAAAATCCTTGGGAGCATTCCAGACATCCACAGGATCCTGGGGGATCCTGGGAAAGGACCTGGGGAGAGCAGGAGAGCACCTGAGGAGGTAGGAGGAGGATGAGGCGAGATCCAGGGATTTGGGAGCGGCCTGGGATAGTGGGAGGTGTCCCTGACCATGGAGTGGGATGAGATCTGAGGTCCCTTCCCACCCAAACCATTCCAGGATTCCGGGATCCTCCTGCTCCAGAGCCTGAATCCTGAGGGATTTTCAGCCTTGTGCTTTCTGGAATCCTGAAATCCTGGGATGGTTTGGGTGGGAAGGGCCCTTAAATCCCATCCCATTCCATGGTCAGGGACACCTCCCGCTATCCCAGGGGATCCAACCCGGCCTTGGACACTCCCAGGGATCCAGGGGCAGCCCCAGCTTCTCTGGGAATTCCAGACCAGCCCCTCCCCACCCTCCCAGCCAGGAATCCCTTCCCAATCTCCCCCCCAAATCTCCCCTTTCCCACTGGGATCCATTCCCTGGGGCCTGGCATTCCAGGCCCTGATCCCCAGACCCTCTCCAGCTCTCCTGGAGCCCCTTCAGGCTCTGGAATGTGCTCCAAGCTCTCCCGGGATCCTTCCCTTCTCCATCCCAAACTCCTTAGAGCAGGAGGGTGGGCGGGAATCACCCCTGGAATGAAGAACTGCGGGAAAGGAAGGGTGGAAACGTGAATTCCAAGGTGCAATTCCCAAGGTTTGGGAGCGGCGCCTTTATCCTCGGGTTTAATAATCCCACAAATCCCGACCGTGGATTGGGAACAACGGGATCCTTAATTAATCAAGTGATTAATTGGGGCCTTAACGGGGTGTTGATTAACCAGGAGATGCCTTGGAATTCTGGTCCCAAGTGGGAATGTCAGGCCCAAGGCACATCCAGAGGAGTCTTGGGAATGATCCCAACTCTTGGAATCCTTCCCAGGCGAAGGAAAAGACAACAATGTCGGGTTATTGTCTCCGGGATGTTTGGAAGGTGATTTTTCCATGGATTTGCCCCTAAATTCCAGGGGAAACACGGTCTGGAATAGCCCGAAAGAAACCACCGGAACCAGGAGGGAAACGCTCGGGAAAAACGGGAAAATCCACCTTTTCCTTCTCCGAACGTTCCCGGGCTCGTGGGACGGGAAAAAGGGAATTTAATTAATTACTTGATTAGATGTTTAATGTCCTCCAGCTCCCGGGTTCCCGGGAGAAGGCAAAATCTGGGGGAAAAGGAGGGTCTTCCGCTGGAATTGCACATGGAAAATTAACCCCGAACAGCAGATCAGGTTTATCGGGAATAAGGAATGAGCGGAAAAATAAAAGAGGGATAAATCCGGTCTGAGCCTTCCCGCCAGTCGGTTTTTGGGTGGATAAAAAATCCTCCTGGAATTCTTCGCCGGGGAAAAAGGATGGAAAGGCGGGAACGGGACGGAAAACAACGGAAAGCGGCGGAAAAATTCCCATGGTTTTTTTTTATTTTAAAATATTTGCCTTTGGAATGTTGTCGCGGCCGGTCGATGTCCGTGCCTGGAACACGATCCCTGCCTTCCCAAACTTCCCGCGATTCCAGGCCTGGGAGTGCTCTCCTGGCTTTCCTCGGGGCCACATCCAAGTGGTGGTGGATCTTCGGGATCTTCAGGATCTTCAGGATCGTCAGGATCTTCGGGATTTTCCGGGCCTTCCAAAGCTCTGCCCGGAGCGGAGGGATTCTCATCCCACGGGATAACAGCTAGTCCATGGCATTCCACATGGAAAACTCTTCTGGGATTCCCGGTCCTCTGCTTCCTCCTGGAACGTCGCCGGAGCTCCAGTGTCGGTTTGGAGCCGATTCCCACCACCGGGACAACGGGATTTACTCCCGGGAACGCCCAAAGCCCTTCCCAGGAATCACCTCGGCATTCCCAGGAGAGCTCCCGCCCCCCAACCCGGAGCGATTCCCTGTTGGATCCCCCTCGGATGGATTCCCTCCCGAAGCCAACAGTTCTTTTCCCCGGAGCGTTCCCGGCCCTCCCCGTTCCCGGCGTTCCGCGGGATCCGTCACGGGGAGAGGCGGGGCCGGAACGTGCGGGGCCGGATCATCATCACCACCTTCCGCAGGGAATAATAGTCCGTGTCCTTCCAGGAATACCACACGATCCCGTCCGGCCCCAGCATCTTCCGGTTCTTGATGGAATATCTCCCGCCCTGCAGGATGGGAGACACGGGGAAGCATTGGAAAACCGGCTGGAAAACAGCAATTCAATCCCGGAATTCCTCAGGTAATCCCGACGGAGCCACGCCCGCCCGCCTCGGGCTGCTGGAATCACCCATTCCAGGGGTTTCCACAGGGTCATTCCAAGCCCCAGAGCACAGAGGCGGCTCCGTAGTCGCGTCTGATCCATGGAAAAGTTGGATCACCCCCTGGGGATCCTTTTATTCTGTCCCGGGAGAGCAGAGGTTGGTCAAGCCAGGAGGGAAGGATCTGCTCCAAGGGAGGAGAGGGAACGGCCTCCGGCTGCTCCAGGGGAGGCTCAGGTGGGATATTGGGAACAATTCCCACATGGTGGTTAAACATTGGAATGAACTTCCCAGGGCAGGGCTGGAATCGCCATTCCCAAAGGGATTTCCAATCCCTGTGGATGCGGCCCTTGGGGACACGGATCCGTGCTGACCTTGGCAGTGCTGGGAATGGTTGGACTCCGTGATTCCAGAGGGTTTTTCCAACCTGAACCATCCCTAAGGATCCTGTGCCATCCTGGCACTGTCCCAGCTCTCCACAATTCCCTGGGAGGAAGTTCCAGGAGGTCCCCAATTCCCAGGGAACGAGGGACAGGAGGAGAGGGAACGGCCTCCAGCTGGGCAGGTGGGATTTTGGGAACAATTCCCGCATGGAAAGGGCTGTCAGGCCCTGGAAGTCCTGGATTCCCCATTCCTGGAGGGATCTCAGATCCCTGTGGATGTGGCTCAGCTGGGATATTGGGAACAATTCCCGCACGGAAAAAGGGCTGCCCAGGGCTGGATTCCCCATTCCAGGCGGGATTCCCAACCCCCGTGGATGTGGCCCTCGGGGACGCGGATCCGTGGCGGCCTCGGCAGCGCCGGGATAACTCCGGACCCGAAGTCATCCCAGACTTTTCCCAACCTCGACGAATCCCTAATTCCGCCGCCGCCGCCGCCCCCTTCCCAACCCTCGGAACTCCCATCCCGGCGTCTCCCATCCCGCTTTTCCGGCCCGTTCCCCACCTTGTAGTAGACGCCGTTGAGGTTGGAGAAGAAGCACTGGTGGTACCACCACCCGCCGTGGGAGATCTCGGCGCAGATGTTCCCGGAATCCGGGGTGCTGAAGCTCCTCTTGTCGTGGTACCAGGCGAAGGAATCCTCCACCGTGCCGCTGAACCCGTCCACGTGCAGCCGGTAGTAGTTCTCCTCGTCCTCGATGCTGCCGGGAAGGGGGGGAAATCCAGGGAATATCTGAGGAATCCCGGAGCGTGGGGGGACTATTGGGGTGCAGAGCCCCCCCTGTGCCCATGGGGGGAATATTGGGGTGCAGAGACCCCCCTGTGCCCATGGGGGGAATATTGGGGTGCAGAGACCCCCCTGTGCCCATGGGGGGAATATTGGGGTGCAGAGACCTCCCTACAGCCCATGGGGGGGAATATTGGGGTGCAGAGACCCCCCTGTGCTCATGGGGGGAATATTGGGGTGCAGAGACCCCCCTGTGCCCATGGGGGGAATATTGGGGTGCAGAGACCCC